AAGAGAATTCAAACCATATTCTGGGATATTGAAACTATATTCACTTTTTAAAATCCCTACTGGCTATGAAGAAATCAAGTCCAACCTACTAAAACTATGTGCAGACAGCCATGGAAAATTTTGCCACCCAAAACCTCTATGGAAAAATAAAGACTTATTTGTTCAACTTCTTTTCAATCTCAATGAAGAAGTTAAACCAACCAAAGTCACTCATCCAGGAATGAGTCCATCAGATTATACGTTAGCTAGGGAAGAATGCAATAAGTTGCTCAAACAAGGTCTGATAGAATCCACCAAATCAGAATGGGCTTGCCAAGCATTTTATGTGAAAAAGAGATCTAAAAAGTTGAGAGGAAAAAAAGGTTAGTAATTGATTACAAACCTATAAATTATTTTCTCAAAGATGATAAATTTCTCATTCCAAAAGCCTCGTCCTTAAATGTTTTTATCAAAGATGCCCAAATCTATTATAAGTTTGGTCTTAAATCAAGATTTTGGGAATTGGGTATCGACCCTGAGGATCGTTGCAAAATGAAATTCTGCATTCCTAATGCCCAATACAAATGGGTTGTGTTACCATTTGAACTTAAGGTAGCTCCGTCGCTTTTCCAAAAGGCCATGACTAGAATTTTTTAGTCCATTCTCAATAGTATCCTCATCTATATTGATGATGTGCATTTGTTCTCAAAAGATGAAAAAACCCATAAACAATTATTGGGTCAATTCCTTCAAATAGCCCAACAATATGGAATGATGCTCCCTGAGAAGAAAAGTCAATTGGGTCAAACAAAAATTGATTTTTTAGGGATACATTTCTCCCAAGGGAAATTTCAACCCCAACCTCATATTGCCCAAGAACTGTTAAACTTTCCTCATGAAAATCTCACAGTTAGACAAATTCAACATTTTCTTGGTATAATTAATTATATTAGAGATTTCCTGTCAAAACTGGCGAGATACACGAGTCCTCTATCCCAAATGCTGAAGAAAACCCCCCCACCATGGGGAACAAAGCAAACTGAAGCAGTAAAAGCTTTGAAGAAAATTGCACAAACTCTACTTGCCCTGAAAATTCTTGGGAATGGCAAAAGAATTTTGCAAACCAATGTCAGTGTTCACTAATGGGGAGCAGTATTAATAAAAGAACTTGAAGGAAAAATATATTATTGTGGTCATGCCAGTGGTCAATTTAAATAATCTGAAAAACACTATCACACCACGTAAAAGGAAGCTCTCGCTGTAAAAATGGGAATCCAAAAGTTTGACTTCCACCTAAGAGGCTATCAGTTTGAAGTCCAGATGGATAATTCTTCTTTTTCAAAGATCCTTGAATTCAAAAATAAGATGTCACTAGATTCTCAAACCCTTTGCCTCAATGGTTGGTTTTCCATATATGATTTCTTTGTAAAACTTATCAAAGGAACTCAAAATGTAATCCCTGGTCTATTATCCTGACCTATGAAACTTATCCAGATCATCATAGCCAAACACACTTTTTCTTTGACTCTTATGGTCAAACCACTACCAGTCTATGCATCCACAACCAAGAATCTTCCTCCAAGGATAACATTATCTTCTTCACTCTTATATTACATGACAAAACTCATAAGGAATAAACTACCCGATCATAGTCCTTATTTCCCAGACACACCTTTCCTCCTACCAATTTTAATACTCAAATGTTAAATTCACAAAAAACCATTTATGGTATATTTGGTGTGCCACCAGTTTGTATTTTATGCTTGTTCTTATTCCCACTGAAGCCATGTATCCACACATAATAGATCCCGAGAACCACAAATCTTTGATTTGGACTACTCTTGAATGGTACTATCCATTACAATGGTGGAAAAATCAATTAAAATTAGTCATAGATGAGGTCAAAGAGCGAAGATTATCTTCAGAAGATATTGGCAAACACAAGTCTGTTTTCTTTCTACATAAGTCATATCTTACAGATCCTGCAACTAAGCAACCTAATTGTACGAGTTATGTTCACCTATGGAAAACCATTAATGATTATCCTCCCAGTCTAAAATACACAAGGGAATTATTAGAGTGTGTTAACTGCATCAATCTCTATGATCCAAAGGAACTCAATGATAGTACAATTTGCATAAGTCATGAAAACTTTAGAATACCAGAAGTTGGAGAAAGCTTTTTAGCCACACAACAGAAACCAAATTCTCTAGTGAAAGCTGAATTCTCATGAAGACAAGTGAAAGGAGTTAATATAAGATTAGTGAATCACTCTTACATAATGGATGACATTTGACAACATGAGTCATCTCGTTTAGAGATTGCTTTTATGATAGAAATTTTTTATGTCCCCATCTCATGAAATAAATGAAAATAAATTTTTCATTACAACAAGTAAAAAAAAATATATAATATATTAGTAAAAACTTAACCATATAATAACTTTAATTAATAATAGTTAGTCTTTTTTAAAATTAAAACAAAGAGGTTAAAAATAGAAAATTTAAAAATAATTCAATAAAATTTATAAATTAACAATATTATTTTTAAATAAACTTTTTTAGATGCCTTTAATTATTATGTTCATGACCTTATAACTTGTTTTTAACAATTTGTAACAAGTTAATATAAAATATTTTCAATATTTTATAATGTATATGTTTTGTACAATATTATCTTAATTGATGAAATAATATTAAGCATTAATAAAAATAAGCGGTTGAAATTTATAAATTAATAACTTAAAAAAATATAAATAATAAACATAAATATTAATTCAATACTATTTTCCTATTTTCTTTTATATTATCAAGCCAATTTAATAGTGTATTTTATTAAATAAAAAATTAAATTAATTATTTACTACTACTTAATTTATTGATTATCCACTATAAAAAACTCAACTATTAATATGTTTCGTATAATAATAATAATAATAATAATAATAATAATAATAATAATAATAATAATAATAATAATAATAATAATAATAATTATAATAATAATAATAATAATTATAATCATAATAATCATTATAATAATAATAATAATAATAATAATAATAATAATAATAATAATAATAATAATAATAATAATAATAATAATAATAATAATAATAATAATAATAATAATAATAATAATAATAATAATAATAATAATAATAATAATAATAATAATAATAATAATAATAATAATAATAATAATAATAATAATAATAATAATAATAATAATAATAATAATAATAATAATAATAATAATAATAATAATAATAATAATAATAATAATAATAATAATAATAATAATAATAATAATAATAATAATAATAATAATAATAATAATAATAATAATAATAATAATAATAATAATAATAATAATAATAATAATAATAATAATAATAATAATAATAATAATAATAATAATAATAATAATAATAATAATAATAATAATAATAATAATAATAATAATAATAATAATAATAATAATAATAATAATAATAATAATAATAATAATAATAATAATAATAATAATAATAATAATAATAATAATAATAATAATAATAATAATAATAATAATAATAATAATAATAATAATAATAATAATAATAATAATAATAATAATAATAATAATAATAATAATAATAATAATAATAATAATAATAATAATAATAATAATAATAATAATAATAATAATAATAATAATAATAATAATAATAATAATAATAATAATAATAATAATAATAATAATAATAATAATAATAATAATAATAATAATAATAATAATAATAATAATAATAATAATAATAATAATAATAATAATAATAATAATAATAATAATAATATATTAATAATAATAATAATAATATAATAATTAATATAATATAATAATAATAATAATATAATATATAATAATTATAATAATAATAATAAATAATATAATATATATAATAATAATAATAATATAATACTAATAATAATAATAATAATTAATATATATTAATTATAATAATAATAAATAATAATAATAATAATTATAAGAATAATAATAATAATAATAATAATAATAATAATAATAATAATAATAATAATAATAATAATAATAATAATAATAATAATAATAATAATAATAATAATAATAATAATAATAATAATAATAATAATAATAATAATAATAATAATAATAATAATAATAATAATAATAATAATAATAATAATAATAATAATAATAATAATAATAATAATAATAATAATAATAATAATAATAATAATAATAATAATAATAATAATAATAATAATAATAATAATAATAATAATAATAATAATAATAATAATAATAATAATAATAATAATAATAATAATAATAATAATAATAATAATAATAATAATAATAATAATAATAATAATAATAATAATAATAATAATAATAATAATAATAATAATAATAATAATAATAATAATAATAATAATAATAATAATAATAATAATAATAATAATAATAATAATAATAAGGGTCATGCTAATCAGTGTCTTCAGGACACTAGTTAAGAATTTCAAATAAGGGAAGGGTCATGTTAATCAGTGCTCTCAGGACACTAATTAACAATTCTAAATAAGAAAAATATGTTATTTTTAGTTTACTCAATATACATAATATTTTTTAAAAGTCTGATTATTTTTCTTTTTATGGCATTAAATACATATATATTTAAAAAAATATATATATTTTTAATCTCTTAAATAATGGCCAAATTAACATTTTAATATCTTAACCAATAACTAAAGGCACTAGTTTGGCATTTCCTTTATAATAATTTATATTGTTGTGGTTGTGGACTTGTGGCGGTAAGATGAGGACCGAAGAGATATTTTCTAGAAAAGTTGGAACAGCATAATAAATACGTGCCGTTGGGTAATCTTAACTGCGTGTGATGGATATAAGAGAACGTTCACTTCACTCTTTGTAGTCCCATCTAGAGTTAACGCAGGGCAGCTAGAAAAGAGGGTTTTGTGAGAAAAATTGAAATCATGAGTTCTAGGTCATCTGGGAAGGTTAAGTGGTTCAACGATATGAAGGGGTTTGGATTTATTTCCCCTGATGATGGTACGGAGGAGCTTTTCGTTCACGAATCTGATATCCAGACTGATGGTTTCAAGAGTCTTGCTGCAGGTGAATCTGTTGAGTATCATGTTAAATCTGGCCCTGATGGACGATCTAAGGCTGTTCAGGTAACTGGTCCTGATGGTGCGCCTGTGAAAGGAAGCGAGCGTAGTCGTGAAAGTGCTCTTGGTGGTTACATCAATGTCGGCGGTGGTGGTTACAACAGTGTCAGTGTAGGTGTTTACGGAGGAAGCACAGGCGGAGGTGGAGGAGGAGGGGGAGCACGTGGTGGAAGCCGTGGTTGAGGCGGTGGAAGGTTCAGTAGTGGCGGTGGTAGTGGCGGTGGTCGGTTTGTTTGATAAACCATAAAGCACATTATGTTATTATAATATATACTTAAAGCTTAAGTTACCCGGACCCATATTATAAAGGGTTCAGTTGTAGTATTGTACTGCTCCTTCTATTTTAAATTGTTTTAGTGAAAAAAATTTGTTTTAAAATAAATATTATTTTTATTAATTTTTTAATGTAGTAATAATTATTGTTTTTTTAATAGTATCATATAATTATTATTGTATAAATTATTTTTAATTTATTAATAAAATTAATTTAATAAATATGTAATATTTTATAATAATATTATTTAATCTGTATCTTAAAAACTTTAAGACACTGTCATTTTGAAACGGAAATTCGGAATGTAGATCTAAAGCACATAGATGCCTCGTGAGAAGAATTTATTATTGCACGTTTGTTTCCTGCCAAATGATGCCTCCACGTCGTCGCTTGCTTCAAATACGCCTATACCATGCGTGGATTATTTTATTTTTACGATTTTTATTTTGTGTATTTATTTAATGTGTAGCATGAATAATATTTGTGACAATAAAAAATAGTTCTACCCGTGTATTTAAAATTAAGACATTTAATTCATAAGTCGGACCATTATTTATAAATATTTGGGGTTATAAGTATGGTATTGTTAGTGTTGGAAATTCACCTCACACCTTATGAAGAATTTCTTTCAATCTTGATCTCAAGATTGATGAACAAACTCACACTATGATAGTAATGGTAATAACTAGTAATTATCAAGAACAACAAAAGAAAAGAAGAACACACAAGAAAGAGAAGAACGAGAGAAGAAATTTTTGGAGAGAATTGTTACTCATAAACTGTGGGATTTCTTATTGAACTTTCACTTGCTAACTGCAACTATGAAATCTGTTATGTTGTGATATAGAATACAAAGCAAGGCACCCTATTTATAGTTTTAGGTTTACATTATCTCAAAACATAAAAGGCCCAAAATATTAAAACTAAATTTAATCATATCAAATCAAATCTATTTACACAATGAATTATATTTAACACACCACCTAATTCATTGTGTCTAAACTGTCTACATTCATCATGGCTCTTAGTCTTCTGAAGGCTTCGACCTGCACTCCCTTCGTCATGATATCTGCAATCTGATTCTCAGTTCTGCAGTGTCCCAACTTCATCTTCCCTTCTGCTACCTGCTCTCGAAGATAATGGAACCTCATTTCGATGTGCTTGCTTCGACCATGAGCTATTGGATTCTTCGCCAAGTTGATAGTTGACATGCTGTCTATCTTCATGGTAATTGCTTCATGATTCTTCCCTGTGATTTCTTCGACCAAGTTCACCATCCAAGTTGCTTGACATGCACAAAGAGAAACATCTATATATTTTGCTTCGCATGATGACAATGCCACTACTGGTTCCTTTCTCGAATTCCAAGCAACTGGTGCACCACCTAACATAAACACATAACCAGATGTGGATTTTTGATCCTCAGCATCACTACACCAACTGGAGTCTGTGTATCCCACTAACTTGCATTCTTTTCCTTCATCAGCTGTTGGAAACAGAATACCATAGTCGAGAGTTCCTTTTAGATACCTCAGTATCCTCTTCGCCGCTGCTAGGTGTGATACCTTTGGCTTCTGCATGAATCTACTTACCATACCAACACTGTATGCTAAGTCAGGCCTTGTGTGACAAAGGTATCTAAGTGACCCAATAAGTCTTCTGTATTGGGTTGGGTCGACATCATCTTCATCTGAATCCTTCGACAGTTGCAATCTGGGCTCAGCTGGAGTCAAAGTTTGGTTGCAATCTTGCATCTCAAATCTCTTGAGTATTTCGCCTGCATATCTTCTTTGGTGCATCATCAAACCTCTACTTGTCTTGTAGAATTCGATGCCAAGGAAATATGAGAGATTTCCCAAGTCTGACATTTCAAACTCCTCACTTAGGTCATGTTTAAAATCTTCGATCTCCTTTTTGCAACTCCTTATTATCAAAAAATCATCAACATAGAGACATAATATAAGCAATTCACCATTGCTTCTTCTTACATATACTCCATGCTCAGTTGTACACTTCAAAAATTCCTTCTCCCTTAAGAAGCTGTCGATTTTCTTATTCCAAGCTCTTGGAGCTTGCTTAAGTCCATACAGGGCTTTATGAAGCCTGTACACCTTTCTTTCTTCGCCTTGTTTCACAAACCCAGCTGGTTGTGCAACATAAACTTCTTCGTCTAAGGGGCCATTAAGGAATGCACACTTCACGTCCATCTGACATGTGTGCCAGTTGTTCATATTTTCTAGATCAACAACCAACATGATTGTTTCGATTCTAGCAACAGGTGCGAATACTTCATCGAAGTCGATTCCTTCCTTCTGAAGAAATCCTTTCGCCACAAGTCTCGCCTTGTGTCGAGTTACTTCTCCTTTAGGATTTACCTTTACCTTGTAAACCCACTTTACATCAATTGCCTTTTTGCCATGCGGTAATTCGACAAGTGACCAAGTATCATTGACTTCGATGGACTCCAACTCTTCAATCATTGCTTTCATCCACTTCGAATCTTTCAATGCCTCAGCTGCATTGACTGGTTCGACATCTGCGTAGAAAGCATAATGTACCAGCTCACCCTCTTCATCGAATACATCATCTGATGTAATTACACATTCTTGCAACCTTGCAGGCATGTGTCTTGTTCGTCGAGGTCTGCTTGAACCTGCTTCATCTGCAACTGGTTCCTGTCGAGCTTCTATTTCGACTTCAGTGGTTGGTTCTTCACAAGAGATTCTCACTGAATCCTTCTTGGCATTCTCAGTCCAATCTCATTCTTTAAGCTCATATATGATCACGTCCCTGCTGATCACCGCCTGCTTATTCATTGGGTCGAACAGCTTGTAACCTCCTGTCGAATGATATCCTATCAAGATCATCTGGTTCGACTTATCATCAAGCTTCCTTCTCAACTGATCTGGCACATGTCTATGTGCTATAGATCCAAATACCTTCAAGTGACTGAGACTAGGCTTGACACCAGACCAACATTCTTCTGGTGTGATTCCTTCAAGCTTCTTCGTCGGACATCTGTTCAATATATATGTTGCTGTGAAACTGCTTCTCCCCATAATTATTTAGGTAGATGCTTTCCATTCAACATACTTCTCACCATATTCATGATGGTTCTGTTCTTGCGTTCTGCAATCCCATTTTGCTGTGGAGTGTAAGGTGGCACCACCTCATGCATAATCCCTTCTTTTACACATAGTGTATCGAACTCTTTCGACACATACTCTCCACCACCATCAGTCCTCAGAATTTTCAGCTTTCGGCCACTCTGTCTTTCGACCATGGACTTGAATCTCGAAAATACCTCAATCACATCACTTTTCTTCTTGATGAGGTAAGTCCACAACTTTCGACTGTAATCATCTATAAACGTGACAAAGTATCTATTGCCACCAATCGAATCCACCTGGATTGGACCACATACATCAGAGTATATGACTTCAAGTATTGCCTTCGACTTCCTTCCTGCATCCTTGCTGAAGCTATTCTTGTGTTGTTTCGACTGAACACACTCCTCACAGACTTCACTTGGAATGTCGATTTCTGGTAATCCTGAAACCATATTTCTTCTCTTCAGTTCTCTGATGTCATTAAAGTTGAGATGACCTAGTCGAAAATGCCATAACCACTCATCTCTGCTGGCTGCAGTTGCTAGACATCTGTGCTCCATCACATTGAGTCCAATCTTGAAGGTCCTATTCTGAGACATTGGAGCCTTCAAGATTAATCTACCACCTGCGTCGAGAACTCTCATCATCTTGTCTTCGAAAACTACTTTGTAGTTCTTTTCGACAAGCTGCCCTATATTGAGCAAATTACTCCTCATGTCTGGTATGTGCAACACATTGGAAATTGTTGACCTCTTGCCATCTTTCCTCATAATTAGAACATCACCAACATCTTCGGCTGCTAGAGTGTTGTCATTTGCAAACTTCACTGTGTTCTTCGACGAGGGCTTCATGTTGACAAACCAATATTTCCTTCCAGTCATGTGTGATGAGCATCCTGAGTCCAAGTACCACTGATCTTGGAATCTTTCTTCATCTTTTGTTGTGACCATTAGCAACGTTTCTTCTTCTTCATGTTTCGCCAGCTTTGCATCAGTCTCTTGATTTCTCTTTCTTTCTGGACAATCACTAGCATAATGACCATACTTCTGGCAATTGAAACACTGAATGTGGTTTTTGTCTGGCTTTCAACCACTACCTCTTCCTTTACCTGCAACACCACCTCTTTGGTTGCCTTGGTTCCAAGGTTTCTTCTGATTCGACTGGTTTCCTCCTTTGTTGTCATTCCATCTACCTTTGCCTTTTCTTTCCCTTTCTGACTGCGCTTGTAAAGCCATATCTTTCGACTTTCCTGCAGCTCTCTCTATCATCCTTTGTTCATGAGACTCAAGAGTCCCTTGAAGCTCTTCCTTCGTCAACACTGATAGATTTTTCAACTCTTCTATGGCAACTACCACGTGGTCGAATTTTGGAGCCAGCGATCTCAAAATCTTTGAGACAACTGCTTTCGTCGTTAGCGCTTCTCCACATACTTTGATTTGATTCACCAACTTCGTAACTCTGGTGAAGAAATTTGTAATGCTTTCGTTGTCTTCCATCTGAAGCAACTCATAGGTTCTTTTGTGAGTTTGTAACCTCACCTCTTTCACCTTCTCTGCACCTCCAAACGACTTTCCAAGAATCTCCCATGCTTCTTTTGCTGAATTAACATCACTAACCTTTTCAAAGTTATCAGGATCGACACACTGATGAATTATAAAGAGTTCTTTATAATCCTTCTTCTTTAATTCTTTGTGCGCAACCTTTTCCGCCTCCGTTGCGTTCTCCCCAAGCGATGTTACTCCGTCCTTCACAAGATCCCAAAGATCTTGATAACAGAAAATCACCTTAATCTGCTTACA